GATTTTTGAGGCCACTTTAAATGAAGCCATTTACATGAGACTACTGTTCATGCTACATTTACATGACATGCGGACAGCCAGCCAGGCGGAACGGCAGACAGCCAGGCGGGTAGACAGAGAGGCAGACGGACGGACAGACAGACAGGCAGACAGCCAGGCGGGTAGACAGAGAGGCAGACGGACGGACGGACGGACGGACGGACGGACGGACGGACGGACGGACGGACGGACGGACAGACAGGCGGACAGACACGCAGACAGACACGCAGACAGACAGGCGGAGAGAGACGGAAAGCGATCGGTACTCTTACCAATAAAAATAGCTTTTGATTTCCTGAAGTTAAGAGTTAATGTACTTATTTTTGTCCTATATCTACATGTCTCGGGCAAAGCATGTAATGCAGCATGGACACAGGCCAAAACTATAGACAGGCGATAAATGGAGATGAATCAAATGTATATTTTTGGTAATGAAAGCAATGTTGACTGCGTCGTTGTTGTCAGTGCCACTAGGTAAAATGAATTTTCCATAAAACATGATAACAAAAATTAGTGCTACCGAGAAAGAAAAAAATGCATTTTGTAGAGACCCGAGAAATGAAAATTAACAAAATGGAATATTAAAAGTTACTTGCATTGAAATTATGGCAATAAATGTGAACTAGGATATATTCAAAACCGGAAATAAAAATATAAGATAGAAAGTTGGTACCCCCTTCCCCAATTGCAGTAAATAATTTCGTCCTCGGTTCACCCTCTGTAATGGAAAAATACTAAACCCGTAATTTGAAAATAGTATTTCTATTAACTAAATTTATTCAGAAAGATTAAATATGTAGTACATAAAATGCAACAAATATATGCACCATTAAAAATTCGAATGTGTTACGTTGTTTCAGTACAAATATGTGGATATATACGTAAGCTTCCGCGACTCGAATCCATGAATTCTCGGCTATACGGGAGCCGCCGCGTCGTTGGCTGGGGTGCCGGCGTTTCGCCTGACATGTCGCAGGCTTCCTCAGGGCAGTGAGGAAGCCTGCGACATGTCAGGCAAAACGTCGGCACCCCAGCCAACGACGCATCGTTTCCCGAATAGCCGAGAATTCAAATATGTGGATAGTTTTTCATGGGAAAGTAAATGCAAATAAAGTATTTTAACTGTATTCTATACAATAAGTTAGTGTTTTACTATTTTTGATAGGCGAAGAAAAAACATTTTTCCGACCGCAAGTGGGTCATGATTCACATTATGATTGTTTATCCTATGAAGAGGGCAGTTATGGCTCTCAGTGTAGATTCTTTAGTTTAGGTGCTTTGCGTTTTGAACATACTACAAATTGAAAATAGTAATGTAGTTCTTCAGTGGCTTACCTTTTACTACTTAGTTAAAATATGCAGCAGAAATGGTCACTTTTCATGTTTTATTTTTTCTCTTCTTTTGGATATGACAAAAATCAAGATTAAAAATAGAGTGGATTGCATTATAAGGATCGTTCCGAGGTTCCCACAAGGGTTGATCCGGCCCTGGTTGTGGCACACTACACTCATTACTGACGCTCACTACACTTGTTTACGAAGTGCTGTGTGGTATTCGTATAACGACCTCTTATTAAAATAGCTTATCAAACTTGGCTTAACGGCGTCAATTGTTAAGTTTCCAAACATAAATTGAAATCTCTGTGTTTTACGACACTTATTTCGTTAATAAGTATTCTAAATACACATTGAATACGTATATTTTTGCATAACTGAAAAGTGGTTTCGAAACTTAATATTACTTTTCTAAAATCTTTTTTTTTTTTAATTATGTTCTTAGATTGACCTTTAGTGTAAAACGCGCGTGAGTATTAAGTGAAGGAAACTTTTGTTGGAATATCCAAATGTCTGTTATTTATTTGACAATTCCATGTCACAACAAATGACATAGCTCACTGCATGCTTCAAATCCAATATACGATTTAATGACCCGCAATAATAACGAGTTCGGTGCGTAATTACTGGATATTTCAACATCCGCACTACTTGTGTTCTGAATAATATTCAGGATTGTAGGTCAAATCAATATAATGAGAATTACGAGGATATAGTGGCAGTCTGCCGTGTTAGATGGTTTATCTGTATTCCATACTTGAATTCAGATTTATGTTCATATACCTTTAATAACCATATGCATTCTGTGCGAAATTAATAGACGTGATCGGTAAAATTAGTGAATCTGCTTTTGCTTCCATTAAATATTATTTGAGACAGAAATGAGAATATACAACGAAATTGAAAATCATGTCGTGAATAAAATACGTTTTGTTTTATTTTTCTACTATTTTGCGTTGTATGGCTGTGCAAAAACTGTGCTGAAGCCAATCATACAAAACTGAATTTTGCTGATGTATGCCTAAATGGAATTCCATTTTCTACCTTCTCGTTTTTCACAACTTTCACTCAACTACTTCAATCACTAAATCATATATTTCATATCATTTCGTGGATATACAATTATCTGAGATGTGTCAAGAATAATATTTTTCATTGAGAGTGCGGAATTTCACAACGCAAATACTTTTCTTCTCATCGCCAAGTAGCATCTCGTCACCTGCTTCCCTCTTCAACGCCCAATGCCACATTTACACAACAGCGAGAGTCTACAGAAAACAATCATTTACACAACAAACTTATTTTCTCCCAGTAAAATCAACAAACACTTTTTCACCGATTGAAGCAAGAGGTAGGCATTGTTTCACAGACCGTCGCCCACCACCACCACCACCAGAAGTACTAGCAGCAGCACAGTTTTGTTTGCCCAAGCGTAAATTAGGTCTCGTCTTTCGGGTGGTTCAGCCATCCAGGAAGACGAAACAGAGGAGAAACGGAAAAACCAGAGCCTTTGCACCTGCGCCATAACGGCACCGGCTTTCCCCACTGTCCCCGCCGCATAGCGACATGGCACAGTGGGGCGAAATGACTCCAAATACGCGCGTGGAATATGATTTTGAAACAAGGCAATGAAACAATAATTATAATTTTAAGAGATTTAAAAATATTCTTTGAATGCTTTTATCTTCTTGTTTACATTCTTCAGAGATTTCCAACAGTTAAAAAGCGTGCAAGTAATAACATGTTTTTTTATATTTAAAATTTTAAATAATTCATTTCTTATACAATCGTCGTTTTTATATTATTTTGTTTAGATATGATTTGATTCATGTGATTTATTCCCATTGTATTTACATCCTTTCAGGGGCTGTAAATAACCGTTGAAATATTCACTATTTAATTTCTTATAATTCAGATTTCCACGTTATCTCCTAAAACAAATTCTTTTTGAAACTACAGATTTCAGCCCTTTTAAGTTTATTAACTAATTATTATTAGGCTAGCAACGGAACTGTTAACTTCAGGCAGCAACTCAACAACATATAGAACGGTTAACTCCTGGTCGAGAATAATTGAACGGTTTCAAGCTCACAATAATTTCACAAAATTTCAAGCTAGATTGTTTTCAAGTTTGGACAGTTGTCACAAAATCACATAAACAGCGTAGTGTTCATTCGCAAAAAACCGAGAATGCTCAACAACTAATATGAAATTTATTGATGAGAAACAATATTGAATTGAATCGAATTTGCTTTATTTTTACGTGGCGAGACTGGTATTCTGATAGGATAGATATTATAAAACCATACCCTTCTCCCAACTGACTTACGAACATATTTTGGATCGCCATTTAATACGAAAGAAGTAATGGTTACAAATTTTAGTTTTTAAAAGTAAAATAGATTGTAAATTTACCTAATAATATATTTTTTCATAATTTGATATAGTTTCATAATTTAAAAAAATAATTTAAGAAAGCTGGAATTGTAAATTTCCGATCACGTGGAATAGACACATACGAAAAGTTAATGCTCGAAACCACCAACCCCTAGCCACATTCAATGGCGCCCCCACCTTAGCTACCTGACTATCCTGGACTAACTATTATTTATTTTTGTATTTATTTATTTATTTATTTTTGTATTTATTTATTTATTTATTTTTGTATTTATTTATTTAATTTTTGTATTTATTTATTTAATTTTTGTGTTTATTTATTTACTTCTTTTTTGTATTTATTTATTTATTCACTTATTTATTGCCCCTTGGACTGCATTTCGGACCAATGTGCGACGTCGCGACAGGCCCAGACAGCGCGTCGCCTTTCGGATTGCACAGCCCCCCGCTGCGCCTCTGCCCCCGCTCCGTCACCGGTCGCGTTGTCACAGCGTTAACGGGACCGCGCGCGCGTCTGAGGGGCGGGAGGAATGAGAGCGGAACCTTCCCACAAGTCGCACCTTTCCACTGGCGTTGGCCAACGCCCAACCGGCCTTGCACGCTCACATCATTGCGACAAAGCGCTGCGACCATACGATCTGGGGATGAGCAAGTTAGTTTACAATGGAATATTTTCAGTAAACGAATAACTACAGTTTGTCCTATCAATAACTTTATTACGTAGAAATGTTTACCTTCTGATCCATTTTCTATGTCCTCGGTTCATCTCATTTTCCATGAAAATAATTGTTCTCTTTGATCTCTATTTTAGGTGACACTCCTGGCTGAAAGATAACAAGGTAAAAAAAACACCAATTACAAAATTGTTTGCAGTATTTACTGCACTCATATTTCTTTATGCTGACTTTCGGACTAGTTACTGAGAAACATACTCTACTATTTTAAAGGGATAAACTTTGATTTGAAAACATTATGTTCTGACGATGCACATTTACTTCATTCATTCGTTGTTTTTATTAATATAACCTAACTTTTTAAACAACATTGTTTGATTTGATGTTTCAAATTTCAAGCAACCATTTTCACAATTAGTCCCCTTAATGCATAATTGACTATAGCAAAAGTTTCATTTCGAGTAAGACAAAAATAGTATGTTCTGCGTCAATTTCATTGTGCATTACCAAATTTGAATAATTAATTTGATAAAATTGTACCTCTAACTCTGTAGTCTTTGATATTAAGCAGATAAAGAATGAATAATCTCATTACGTTATTACATACTCTAATTACATTAGTTTGAAAAGAATATCCAACTCGCTGAAAACTCAAAAATTTATTTTAAAAAAATAAGCAATATTTCGAAAAGAATTAAGCATGTTGGGGTTGAGAAGAGTATATAATTTTAGAAAATACCACGTTTAAAATTTGAAAACATTGGCATGATGTTTTTCTTTTAATATCCAGTGAACTACAAAAAGTTTGTTAGAAAGTTGTTGACATAATACTGCAATTTACATGTGTGAAACGTTCTCAAGGACGTTCAACCGGTTTAGATGAATTTCCGGATTGTTTGTTAGAGGTTTGCGCGCCCGCCATTATACACCCGTTAACTCACAATTTTTAATGGTATCCTTATGCGCATAGGAAATTTTTTCAGATATTTCTTTAAAAGATCAGAGGCGGTCGCCTTTTAAAAATATGGTGTGCAACAAAAAAAGTAATAATTTAGAAAATTGATCAGAGGAGAAATTTTCGTAGGTATTTGCCTCTGTTTTAATTCCCAAATAATTATAGATTTTTGTTTTACGGTACAAATTAAAAGCACATTTCTTAGTAAATAACGAAACGTGTTTGTTCCATGCAGTTATGTCAACATACTGGTTTCGCAAAAATCATATAGAGGCCACGAAAACAGCCATATTTTCTTTTCTTAAAGATGTCGCCTCACCCGTGGATCAAAACGAAGCACCTATTGGAATATTTTTAGATCTTTCAAAAGCTTTTGACGACATTAATCATAACATTTTACTCTCAAAATTACCTTCATATGGAATTCGTGGTGTTGCTCTACATTGGTTATGTTCGTACCTTAAACAACGATATCGGTGAGTAGAATGAAAAATGGAATAATGGAACATTACACACCTTTCTGAGTCTTTACCAATTGCATGTAGAGATCTGCAGGGATCAATTTTATGCCCTATTCTCTTCCTACTTGACGTAAACAATGTGCCCTCGACGATTAGACACGGAAGAGCAGTTCTCTTTGCGGACGATACCCATATTCTTTGCAAGAAACCGTAAATAGTACAATATCAGATCTTTCAAATCGGTTTCGTAATAACAAATTAATAGTAAATGAAAATAAAACTGTTTCAATGCAGTTCTCCATTTCAAATAAACAGCTCGGCACTTCACTAAAAATGAACGGCGTGCCATTCACTGATATTAAGGACAAAATTTGTAGGTATTTCAATTCTGTCAAACCTTAAATGGAACGTCCATTTAAATGAGTTGAGCACTAAATTAAGTTTTATATGCTACGATTTCAGAATTCTTTCAAATTCAGTCAGCCTCCACACTGCTTGTTGTGTATATTTCGCGAATGTTCATTCCCGTCTGAGATATGGTATAATATTCTGGGGAAATACATCTTATAGCACCCACACTTTTAGATTACAAAAAGAATGGTACGAATAATAAGAAAATCCCACCCATGTGATTCTTGTAAGCCTCTGTTTATTAATCTATGTATTTTACCATTACCCTGTCTCTTCATATATGAATCCGTGGTTTTTGTCAACAATGATTAATTTAAGAGCGGGGATATTTTTTCAGCAAACAACAACTTTCAGCCATTGTCTATAACTCAACACTCGACGTAGTAATCATATCCATCAGGTCACAGTATCAACAGCTCACTACTAAAAATTGACTTATAATACATGAACATTATTTTACAACAACGTGCCAGATGACATTAAAAGATTAAATTCAATACAAAAGTTTAAGTCCCAAGTAAAATATTTTCTGCTGCACAACTGTTTCTATACAATTAGAGACTGAGCATCAAAGTAAAGTTTAATAATTAATTTTAAAACATGAGCATTTAATGGTAAAATTATATATCATAATTGGAATTTGTATAATTGTAAAAGGTACCTGTAACAAGTATTGTACTTCAGCTTCTTGGTCAATGACCCCCATCTCGATCAGGTTTTCGTCCAGAATCCCTGACCCTCGAGCAAATACTGAGATGGCCCCTTGTTTTGCTTTTAGACATAAAAATAACTTCAAATTAACTTCGCCCCATAGCACGTCACACACAGTTCTTAACTGTTTTTGACGTAAATAAATAAATAAATAAACGTTTCTTCTGGTTTTTAACGATAGATGTGGTGCATTCGTGAAATCTCCACAAATGTTCTACAAATCGTACAATATTTAAATTTGTTTATAAAATAAACAAAACTCTTCAAGCCGCTTTCGCGAAAGAAAACAAAATGTTTTCTTAAAATTCTAGTGAAAACTCAATACCCTACAACGAATTTTTAGATGTTTTTCGCAAAAACTTTCAGCCAGTAAAACTTTGTGTTCGCAACATCAATTTCAATCGCAGATGAAATTCCACATGTGTGATCCGCGTTTGTTTCAGCATGATGAGACTTTTGGGAGATTTTAAATAATTTACTCCTTCGAAATCATATATTTCGTAGGAAAAGCCTGAAAGAAGCTTTGGATATAGTAAAGAAACAGAAAATTTCCAGGCAATTGTGAATGTATGTAAGTCAGCATTCTATGTGCTTAAATGCGGTGAGGGTGTGAGAGTATTGAAGAGTGGGGGTGTGTGAACGTGCATGTGATTATGTGACGGCTGTGCGTGGAAGTGTAGGGTATTTTCATGGTCGTTCGTGTGCATTTGCATGCACGTCTACGCGAATGTGTGTGCTTGTGTACATGCGTGCGCGCGCGCGTGTGTGTAGACCGGTTCTCAACCGCGATTCAACGCAAGAGATTGGTGTTTAAAAGCAGAACAAACGTGTTGCCAAGGTGACACTAACGCCCCCTCCAAACTCATTACGTCACCTGATCTTCAAACGAGCAGCAAAAAAGCCACCTACGTTTGTACCGACGCTAGAAAGCGGACTGCCTCGAGAAGGTAAACAACGCCGCGTTGTGTGACAGAGGGTGACGGCGCGGGGGAGAGATCATGGCGATGTCAACGCTCCGTCAGCATTACGAGGCTGACGCTCTCGTAAATAATCAACGCGTCGGCGGTGTGCGGGCGAGTCCGATGTGTGGTCTCGGTGGGCGGAGGGGAGCTTGTTTGTACGCCCTCCCTAAGAGGGCGCCCTTGGAGATTTCCAGCGGCTGGCAGCAGCAGCAGCGACGCCGCACGACAACGCGTGAAACTAATGCTCCACCCGTCCCTTCCACGTCTGCTAGATTTCAATGTATGACGCTCGCACGTCAAAACACTCGCTGAGGTAGGTTGGTTCCGCGCGGGTGCTGTTTATTTGGTGACTTATTCCTGTCAAACAATTTTTACACGTGATATGAGTTTTTGTGTGGGTGTGTGGGATATAGCCCCTCCCGTCCAGGGGTCTCACCCTTCGTCTGTCAGATATTTTGTTGACATGGGCGGGACTACTCATTAGTGTGAGAGTACAACAATTAGGGAGGTTTTAAACGGAGGCTAAATGGGACGAGGGGACGTCTGACATGTTGTTGACCTTATGCGTGAAATTCGTTGTAATAACTTTTAATGCTGTCCGGTATTGGCTATGTTAATACTGACCGTTGAACATAACCTTTATCGACGTGGCGAACGTAAAATCTGTGCACTAACTGAAGGCCGGTCATTAGTGCAAACATGACGTTAGATCGGCTTACAATTTAGTGCTAAATCCTAAATAGCTTAGAATTCTACTTCACGATCTCACTAAAAGTTTGCGGGTCGACCAGAGTTCTTCATATTATTGTCTTATTTGACTTAGATATATGTCAGCAATACTAAAGATAAGAGTCATCATCAATCGAAATACTCATAATTAATATTTTTTCTCGAACGTGTCAAGAAAGGGTTGAACACTATGAAAGGGACAAAAGATTACATAAGCATTTCACATTCAAAAACACCACAGTGCATTTCATATTGTTCTATCCGCATCCAAATTAATTGTTCATCTTGTTTAAAAAAATCACTCATACGCACGTCTGCTCTCTTCGACGTCCGGTTCAACTTTTCTTAACAACAAATTCTACGAAAATATCTCACACGCCACTGTCAATATTTCTCTGTTTAACCACATTCTATGTCCAAGAAATTACTTTTCAATATCTTTGTATCTTGATTTAATTAATTTATTAAACAATCTCTTCTTATATACATCAACTTTTTCTTGCTTCTTTTTTATTATAAAATTGACACTTATCCAGTTCTGTTTGCAAAGAATGTTTATATTTTATACAAATCGCTGCAAACTAAATAAACACAATGTTCTACGTCACCCAATTGTTATCTTAAAAAGTAAATAAATTTGCGCCATGAAACAACATACTCAGTTTATTCTGGTACAAAAGTCGTTATCACCTAATTTAAAGGAATTTTTGATCTACCATGAATTTGAAACAGAAAGGTGTCTCGTATCCAATTATATTATTGTAGATCACCTCAGAACGCTAAATATTATTGTTACCATTACGAAATTCTCAATCAAATATATGAAGTGTTTAATCTGCAAATCTCATTCATTAATAAAGTCAATTATTGAGGCGCTTTCGTTGCTATCTATTCTACTGATCTA